GTACCCACGAATCAAACCGTGCTCTGCCGTACAAGACTCTGTATGCTCCACACATCTTTTAAGGGAAGAATGGGGCATGCAAAATAGACGTGAATGTTCACTCCATCATCAACCTCCACAGTATCACGAATGTTGCTTGAAAAAGCAGCTTAGTCAGGATTCAAAGTATGAACGGGTCAGCCCTACCTGAATTAACCCTGTTGAACCATGTAATTTCTTACCTACATGCTCAACTTTTAATCCTGAAATGAGGCAAAAGAGAGCAAGGGGATATTTAAAGGTCTTGTATTCTCATGCCCATTATAAAACATTTTACAAAGCTGGTTAGAATCTTGAGTGTGTAAATTATTTTTACTAGCTTTAGAAAGCCCATCTTCAACCAAAGAATTGGGAATGCTGTTTCTCACAGACATTCAGAGGAAGAGGTAATTTTCCTCAGCAATTTGAAATGGTGGTTACATATGGTTTTATTTTCTGCAAATTTTAGTTCAAAGTTAAATTGCTTTTTCTTCCAGGGTAAGAAAAATATCAGACACTGGCTATATAGTTCTGGGTCATCTGTGGCCTCTCCCCATAGGTTAGGATATGCATTTTTGTGGAAATAGGCAAAAGGAGGAGAACAACAAAGAAAAAAGAGTGGGGGAAAGGGCAACCAGAAGGTGTAAAGGACAGACAGTTAACTCATTCCGCCTTCACTTCGCCCAACGAATAAAGCCCTGTCTCAATGAGCACAACTGGATAGGTTTCGATGGCGCAGAGAAGCATCGGTCAGCAAAGCTTACTATTTCAAAGGATTTTTAAATGAAGTTTGAAAGGGAGTGGGTGAGGGGAGAGTTTACAGGGAAGAGGGTGAGGGAGACAGGTGGAAACAGTTTATCATGTAAAGAAAACATAGCTTGAGTGGACTTTCGCTAATTTTGTGTGTATACAGAAAAATGTGTGGGAATGTGTGGGGAAAAATACACAAGGAAGAAAAGACAAACTCATGCAAATTCCTTAGAGCAGAAGTGGCAGTAACATCGTATTTCACACCTGACAGCTTTTTCAGTCTGACATTTCCCAAACTCTTTATCCATCCTCAAATGGTGACTTCTGGAGTCTCCACGTTTAACAGTAGGTCATGAGGAGTCCATGCAGACATCAACCATTTCCACATGTATTCAACCAACCTTGTGTTTAAATAATTTGCTACGAAAACTGGAAGACAAAAAATACCTGAAAATTCACAGCTGTGTGACATTATCTAATACTGATAGCATGCATAATTACCAATCTTATACAAAATTTACATTCATCAATATTAAATTAAATTCAGAATGGAAGAGAAATGCCACAATATATACATGTTATCTTTACTATAATTATAATCTGAAATATAGCCTATAATTTGAATATAGTCAAATACTACAAACCAGTCTCTAATCTAAAGCACTACATTTCTGTCAGAAAATCAGACAGGCTGAAGTAAAAAAAAAAAACTATTGGGACTACATCAAAATAAAGAGCTTCTCTACGGCAAAGGAAACAATCAGCAAAACTAAAAGACAACATACAGAACAGGAAAAGATAATTGCAAATGACACATCCGATAAAGGGTTAGTATCCAAAATACATAAAGAACTTATACAACTCAATACCCCAAAAGACAATTAAAAAATGGACAGAAAACGTTTCTCCAAAGAAAGCATACAAATGACCCACAGACACATGGAAAGATGCTCAACATCGCTCATCATCAGAAAAATGCCAATCAAAACCACAATGAGATATCACCTCACACACCTGTCAGGACAGTTAAGATCAACAACCCCAGAAAGAACAAGCGCTGGCTAAGGATGCAGAGAAAGGGGAGCCCTCGTGCACTGCTGCTGGGAATGAAAACTGGTGCAGCCACTCTGGGAGACGCTACGGAGGTTCCTCAAAAAGTTAAAAACAGAACTACCCTGCAACCCAGCAATTGCATTACTGGGTATTTACCCAAAAAATATAAAAGCACTAACTCACAGGGATACATGCACCCTTTGTTTACGGTAGCATTAGTTACAAGAGCCAAGATATGGAAGCAGCCCAAGTGTCCACTGACCAACGGATGGATGAAGGAGAAGTGGTGTATACACAACGGAATATCACTCAGCCATAAAAAGAATGAAATCTTGCCATTTTCAATGACGTGGATGGAGCTAGAGTACATTATGCTGAGCGAAGTAAGTCAAAGACAAATACCAAATGACTTCATTCGCATGTGGAATTTAAGAAACAAAGATGAGCAAGGGGAAAAAAAAGTGGCAAAGCTAAGAAACAGACTCTTAACTATAAAGAACAAACTCATGGTCACCAGAGGGGGAGATAGGTGGGCCATGGGTGAAATAGGGGATAGGGATTAATGAGTACACGTCTCATGATGAAAAAAATAATAAAATGATTTCTTAAAAATGAAAATCAGATGTCCTCCCTGTTAAAAATACAGAGTTGGTAATTATGCAAATGCAAAATTAAAATATACAGTGAAACTGAGGTGGCTGGGTGACTCGGTTGGTTGAGTGTCCGAATTCAGCTGAGGTCATGATCTCGCGGTTTGTGGGTTCGAGCCCGGCATCGGGCTCTGTGCTGACATCTCAGAGCCTGGAGCCTGCTTTGGATTGTGTCTCCCTCTCTCCCCGCCCCTCCCCCACTCACGCTCTGTCTCTGTCTCTCAAAAACAAACATTAAAAACAATTTTTAAAAAACATATACAGTAAAATCAATTACTAGATCCGTAACACCTTGAAGGAAGAAGCCCTGAGATCCTCCTAATCCTTCGGATGTTCAAATAGCATTTGTGGTAGAGACTGCCAGTCACCATCCCCGCTTCCGTGTTCACACCATCTCTGAGGTTTATCTGAACACACAGCTGTGCATCAGAGAGACCACGCCCCCTAGTTCCCATGCATCTCATGCTCCAGCCAAGATGTGAGCAAATGTGACACACGTGTCCTGCTCCTCTCCTGCCCTGCTGACTGGACCGTGGGCGATACGCCCCCTTCGACTGTGCAGAAGGGCCAGCAGAGCACCAGCACAGAATGTCTTTCCATCCCTGAGCAGAGTCACTACACCAACTCAGGATTTCCAGGGAGAGAAACAGACTTCCTGTCTTGTGCAAGCCACTGTCATCAGGAGTCTCGGCTACATGCTGCCAAGACCGTATCGTCATTTCCTGAGCTCCTCAGCTATAATGTGGGGTCGATGGTAATCCCGTTCCCTCAGATTACTGTAAAGGTTACCTGTTTTACATAGAACAGAACAGCACCTGTTGGTGGGCACTACACAGTCTACTGTGTGTCTGGGCAAACTCAGCCAGAGTACAAGTTATGGAGCTTTTCTGGGACTTCAAAAATAGAAACCATAAATGTTAGGCAGGCAGATGGCGTGGTTCTGCTATAACTTACATGCTGTGACTCAGGTTGCGCTGGTTATTCTCTCTCTCAAGTTCCCGACTCCAGGATTCACATCTCTTCCATCCATCTTCTGTTTTAATCCAGCTCCATCCAGGAGATCTCCAGTCCTGACCCAAAAATGGCATAGTTCCCCCTGTAAAAGAATTTATGTTAAGAATTTATGTAATTAGCAAGTTTCCTTTCATTCAGAACATTTGTTTTAATGTTTATTTTTGAGAAAGAGAACGTGTACACACACACACACACACACGTGCGCACAAGTGGGGGAGGGGCAGAGAGCGAGAGAGACAGAATCAGAGGCAGGATCCAGGCTCTGAGCTGTCAATGCGGGGCTCGAACCCACGAACTGTGAGATCATGACCTGAAGCTGAAGTCAGATGCTCAACCAACTGAGCCACCCAGGTGCCCCTCATTTTTAAAAAATGTTTATTTTGAAAGAGCAGAGGGGAGGGACAGAGAGAGAGAGAGAAAGAGAATCCCAAGCAGGCTTTGTGCTGTGTAACACAGGGCTTGATGTCACAAATCAAAGATCATGACTTGAGTTGATATGAAGAGTCAGGATGCTTGACTAACTTGAGCCACCCAGGCGCCCTGAGAACATTCATTGATTCTAAAGAATAAAGCTCTTAATATTTAAATGTCTGCATGTGCCTTAAATGCTGGCTAGACACAGGGGAGCAAAGAGGACACAGTACCTCAGTTGCACCAAGATGATAAGAAGGGCTACGTACTGGTGGATGCACTAGCCCAACATTGCATCTGTCAGGAAAGGTTTACCTGAGGGGCCATCTCAGCTGGGACCTGGAGAACAAGTAGGAGTCAAGGAGTGAGGAAGAACGGGAGCATTACAGCAAACAGAAAAACTCTCTCCACCAGAATTAGAAGCAACGTAACGCGAGACATATTTGTGTTCAGCGCTGTATGTGCGTCAACCTGGTTGCAGCTCACAGTAGGACAGCAAGCATAGGGAGCTGCGAGAAGGGAGACTGGAGCAGTGCCCAAGTCAGAGGACTGGACCTTCCTGCAAGGGCAGCGAGGGGCCAAGAAAGGAACTTCCGCAGGTACACGATTCGATTAGACCCAAGTGTTACAAAAGCCTCAGGGTCCCACTGTGAGGACGGAGGTCGGGGGACACGTGGCGGGAAGAAGAGTTAGGACTGGCAGCTATGGAGTACAAGCGTTTACGAGGTGCAAGAGTAGGGCTGCAGAAGACACAGATGCTAGAAGCACTTAGGAGGCAGGGTCACCAGCAATCAAGGCCTTGTTCGTCTTGCTCTCTGACGCTAAGGGGACCAGCTACCACACGCTCAGCTATGCCCGGGAGAGGCCCGTGGGGCACGGAGCAACCCCAGGCTGGCTGCACGTGTGAGGAGAAGTCAGAGAGACAGATTTGAGTTTGTTGAACCTGCCTCTGAGATAAGGAATAAAGAAAGAAGAGACGTTAATTTCAGTTTTGGACAGGCCTGTCAGATCTACTGAGTCCGTGGCGACAGGACAGCACTATACTAGAATCCGCGTATAAGGACCCAGGTATAAAAATCATGACCTTCAGGGCACCTCGGTGGCTCAGTCGGTTAAGTGTCCGACTCCTGGTTTCGGCTCAGGTCATGATTCCACAGTTCATAAGTTTGAGTCCCACACTGGGCTCTATGCTGACAGCATGGAGCCTGCTTGGGATTCTCTCTCTTTCTGCCCCTCCCCTGCTGGCTCTCTCAAAATAAATAACTTTATAACTTGGTGACAAAAAGAGCTCAAATACTAGCTCTTCCATTGCCCGGACTTGCCTTCCTACGGCTCAGTGCTTCTCAACCCTCACTGTGCATTAACCTGACAGTCTTAGAAGCTTTTAGAAAATACAAGTGCTTGGCTTCATTCCAGACAATTAAATACAAGTATTTGTGCGTGACAGGTAAGTGCATTTTTTTTTTAACAATGCCAGGCACGCAAGGGAGCTCAACAAACACTGAATGGACGCATATACAGATCCATCGCTCAGAAGAGACAATAAGGCTGGAGAACACAATAGGAAAACCGTCAGCATTCAGGTAGTCATCAAAGCCATAGGAATAATACCTATGGAATGATACCTAGGGATGTTTCCCCCACAGAGAATAACAGTGGGAAAAAAACAGAGGCAAGGGAAAAACTCTAAGGGACAGTGACATTTAAGAGACAAGCAGATAAAGATGAGCCAAGAAAGGAAATTGAAAAGGAAGAGCCTAAGAGGTAGGCGGTAGGGAGCAGGAAGTCAAGAGAAGAATGTATTTCAAATGACTGGCAGAAAGGAAAACATTATTAACAAGCTAGTATGGTAAATATTCAAAAGTGTATATTGAATTTAGCTACAAAAACATAACAGAGATCAACCAAAAATAGTTTCAATAGAATAATGTATTATATTAATCTCAGGTCCAAAGTAGACTTGGAGCATTTCTCTAATGTACAGTATTTCTAACACAGAGTACCTGAGTGATAAAAGTTTTTCAAATATAATCTCCCAACTATAACTAACAAAAAACAGGCTACTAGATAGGCTTTGATACTGCCTTAGAAGAGACAAAAAAAGGAAAGTCCAAGTCTTCAGCAACATTGCTGGGTCAATTCTACATGCTCATTTCCCTAAATGGCCTATGAAATGTTCTTGTATACCAAGAGGATCTCAAAACCCCACTCAACTTGAGTTTCCAGCAAGAAAACATCTTTTATAGTCACACATTCATTCACTTAAATTCTTACTTTAGAAAGTACTTAAATATCCCTATTTAAACACCAGCACTATTTTGGTAAGCATCATCTTGCAGACTTGTTTCAAGCTACCAACTACCCTAAAATGCAAAAGCTACCACCCATGTCTAGTCAATTCAGTTAACTAGAATCGTCTCCAATAGTATACAATGATTTTCTAAATTTTCATGAAGCTTCAGATACAGTCCAGAGAACACTGCTAACCCAAGAAGGCAAGACGCTCTGAAACAGTTTAGTCTCATAAGACACACACGAGGGAACAATGTGTACGAGGACCATCTCTGAGATCTCTCGTTATCACAGATTTGGAAAAATCCGTGTTTAAAAAAACTGGCAACCATGCAGAATACTGCTAAACAGACCAAATATAGGGGTGCCTGGGTGGCTCAGTCGGCTCAGGTCATGATCTCACAGTTTGTGAGTTCAGCCCCACATCAGGCTCTGTGCACAGAGCCTGCTTCAGATCCTCTGTCCCCCACCCCCTCTCTGCCCTTACCCCACTCTTTCTTTCAAAAGTAAACATTTAAAAAAATAAATAAATGGGAGCATCTGGGTCCTGCTTCAGATCCTGTGTCTCCCTCTCTCTTGCCCCTTCCCCACTCACACGCACACGCTCTCTCTCTTAAAAACAAATAAACATTAAAAAATAAATTAAAAAGACAATGCAAGTGAGAAAACACAGGATGTATGGAAATATATTTTAAAAACATAAAAAAATGTGTATGTATGTACTGAGTGAGAGAATAACTAAAAGAAATTCAAAGTAAAAAAAATCCAGCCATCTAGGACCTCTGAAGAAAAACTAGGACATGATCTTGGCCTAAAGCCCATGGTTAGATCTTAAGTGGAGAGACTGGGGAAAAATACCAATCCCAGAAATGGTGGGCAAAAAGAGACGAAGATGGGAATACAAGTGACACCTTTCAGAATAGTGAACAGAACAGGTCGGCTAGGAGAGAAATCCTCGGGAAGGCTGGTAGGCAGGGTGGAAAGGTGTTCAGAAGCCTTGAATATCAAAGGTGTTTAGGCTTTATTCTCCAAATGAAAGTTTTTGGGCAATGTGGTGATGTGAGCAGTGCTGTTCTGAGAATGATCTGCCTGGGTCTGTGGAGAAGACGGCACGGGAGGGTGGAGGCGGAAAGCACAAGCAAGCAAGCAAGAGACAGCTCTGCCGACACCTCCACTAACACACTTTCTTGAAAGACGATGACGCACGTTGTACTGGTCTAGTCAGGCACTAGGCCCACCCACCACTTAATACACTTCTATTCAGGCCGCAAAAGCAACTTCTATGACGTTTAACCAAAGTTTTCAGGGTAAAGAGTCAGCTTACTATTTCAAGTAAGATAATCAACTCTTTTGCAACTACCTCTGTGAGCAATGAATGGTTAGCCTGAATATTTCACATGTAGGTGTTTGTACTTACAGGGATTGGAAGGAATGAAATGCAGCTACATAAACAACAGGACATTTCTGGGGCGCCTGGGTGGCTCAGTCAGTTGAGCGGCAGACTTCGGCTCACATCATGATCTCGTGGTTCATGAGTTCAAGCCCTACATCGGGCTCACTGCTGACAGTGTGGAGCCTGCTTCAGATTCCCTGTCCCTCTCCCTGCCCCTCCTCCACTGGTGCTCTCTCGAAAATAAAACATTTTTAAAAAATAGTACATTTCCAAGGTTTTTATTTTCAACACCGAGGAAAAGATTTGTTCTGCTGTAGACATGAGGATTCCAGAGATTTGACATATTATCTTCTTTGGGTCACAATGAAGCTTCATTTTAAGGTGTAATCCTATACAGTTCATGAACTAAAGCAGACTCTGGAAGAAGACTTATTAGAAACAACAAAAAGCCATCAGGGAAAAGCAAGAAGCAAAATGGACAAGAAGCAATGTGAAAGGTCTGGTGCCAAATTTTCAAAAATACTCCCAACCTGAGCCATCTAAATTTGCAGATCAGAACTACTACTAAACTTCTGGAATGATGAACCCATCACTTTTGACGGAAATATATTTATCTGTCTTGCTAAAGACCTGAATTGCTACACCTTAATAAATTTTAACTACAATCACATTTGTTTTGAAAAATTTCAAACACAAAAATAAAAGCAAAACTTACTCCTGAAAATTATTAAGCACGTAAGAGCAGCTACTCAGAGGCGGCTACTCTGTCGTGAAGTAGCTGGTACAATTTGAAATTTTATGCACAGGTCATGCTAACGGATGTCAGAGAGCACAGGGGCTGAACCCTCAAAAATCTTCACTTCATCTCTATTGCACACAGCAGGGTGTGCGGGTGGAAACTCCCAACATGGGAGGCAGGTCAAACCCAGAAAGGTCTTCCTCCAAGCATTTTCCTTTTCTTAACTAATGATACAATAG